CTCCAAGACCTGTTTCACTTAACAAACTTCTCACCTTTTCCAGAATTGTTCTATTTAGCCTTTCAGCTACCCCATTTTGCTGAGGGGTATAAGGGCAGGTCTTGTGCCTTAGAATGCCATGAATCTTGCAATGCTCATCAAACATTCTGTTGCAGTACTCAAGACCATTATTTGTCCTTAGAGTCTTCAGTTTCTTCCCACTTTGATTCTCAACTAAGACCTTCCACTCAACAAATTTACTGAAAGCTTCATCTTTTGTTTTTAAGAAATAGACCCATACTTTTCTTGAGAAGTCGTCAACAAATGAAATGTAGTACTGACACTTTGACAGGCTTGGAGTAAGATTAGGAGAACCCCATAGATCAGAATGGACATATTCCAAAGGATCCTTGGAAGTATGTTTCCCAGTCTTGAATGATGATTTGTGAAACTTTCCAAGAACACAATGTTCACAGTTCTGCAGCTGTGAGATCTCTTCTGGCTTTATCATCTCCTTCTTAGCTAACAACTTAATCCTTTCTCACTCATATGTCCCAATCTACTGTGCCATAGCATTGTTTTATCTCCCTGCTTTGCTGCTGTGTTTGCTTCTCCCACTACTGGTTCTCCATCAAGAATATAGAGAGTATTCTTATATTCACCTGCTAAAGCCTCTTTTCCATTGTAGAAAACTTGTAGCCTGAAATTCTTTGACTGAAACCAACACCCCCAAAGAGATCAGGTTCCTCTTTGCAGTGGATGAATATCTGACTTTTGTTAACACGACAGTGGTATTGTCATAGTTAACAATCTTCACCTTTCCTATAGCTGTAATAACACAGAAAGTATCATTTCCCATAAGGATCTTCCCACCATCAATTTCTTCAATGTCAAACATTAGATCCTTCCTATAGGTAAGGTGATAAGAACACCCTGAATCTAGAACCCATCCTTCTCTTGCACTTTCAGATGCAGTTAGCATCATTGGCTCAGAATCAATTCCCTTTCCTACAATGGCTTCAGCATTGCTACTTTGACCTTTCTTGGGACATTCTCTTTTAAAATGTCCCTCAGCTCCACAAATCCAGCATACTTTCTTGCTCTTAGCCTTCTCCTTTCCTTTGACTGCTTGTTTAGCCTTAGGATTAGACTTCTTTTCAGTCTTAGATTTGTGCTGAACATAGAGCCCTTCACCACTGGATTTAGTCAAATAGCTTCCTTTCTGCTTTAGCTCTGTCTCTAAGGAATATGCCGATTGAGTTATTTCCTTTAGAGTTATAGTCTCCTTACCACCTCTGTACTTTAGAGTGTGAACTAACTGAGCAAAATGTGATGGCAAGCTGTTTAGGAGGATTACAGCTTGGTCTTCATCACTTAACTCCACATCAAGACTTCCCAAATCTGATACCAGTTTGTTGAACACATCCAGATTCTTGTCAAGATTCTTGTCTTCTTCCATTTTAAAACTGTAGAATCTTTGTTTAAGATAGAAACGATTTGGCAAAGACTTATCCTGATACTGAGACTCTAATGCATCCCACATGCTTTGAGCAGTAGTATTCTTCATAACTTTTCTCAGCACCAAATCAGTCACACTCATGCCTATCAGATTTCTGACCCTTCTATCTTTAGCTACCCACTTAGGGTCTGATTCATCAGCTTTCTCTACTGAACCTGCTGGTGTTTGATCAGTCTTGAGGACTGAATCCAACCCGAGAATCTCAAGTTGAGCTAACACCCTGTGCTTCCATATAGAGAAATCCCCATCACCATCAAACTTGTCTACCTCAAACTTTCCCTGAGTAGGTTCCATCTATTCTTCTTACCAGATCTGATCAGAACCCAGAAATCCAAATAACAGGAACACACCACACAGAACACCCACACCAACAAAGAAAACCAGAAAACCACGATATACAACTAGATCCAAAACACCAAGATAACCCTTTTCTTAGAGTACACAGAAATACCCGAGATTCAGAAGTAAACCACCTAGACTCAGAAACCAGGTAGAAAACCTTTACCTGCTGAGGCTAGATCTTCTGTTGTGTGCTCTAAAGGCGATCTTAGGCTGAAAGCTGTCAACTTTATGACACTCAACCTTGCTCTGATACCATTTGTCACGTTTTAAACCAAGTTTCCAAGATTGTTCTCTTCTTTATCTTTGTTTGTTTGTGTTTGCAGAAGTAAGAACAAGAAGAAGAGAGAAGAGAGAAGACACAGAGATTTACAAGTTCCCAAGGCCAATGTGGCCAAGGTACGTCTTGGTGAGCTTAAACCAGCTCACAAGGTTTCCTTTAAGCGTTTAAAACCAGAGTTACAAGAAACCAGAAAGAACAACAACCCAGAGATTCAACACCAAGCTATAAAAGAAGATAAGCTCTTCTCCTATCTCTTAAAACCTCTCTAGATCTTTCTGCTTGTAACTCACGCTCTTCTCATCTTGTCATTATGCCCTCTGCTTTTCCTTTTATACACCTAATGGACGCTCCCTTTTCAGGTCACTCCAAAACCTAGGCGTAACAAACCTTTCACCGCCAACGTCTCCTTTCGAGACCGTGTCCTTCAAGTGAAGACAAAAGCAAAGTGTTGACTGTTCACGTGGGCATACAGCTTTTTCAAACCTGGGCCTTACCAAAGACTTAAATTAAGCCCAATAGCTGTCTCAAGCCCACCTTGTTGAAACTGGATCGTTTCTTCACATCGGGGTTTTGAATCCACGGATGATAATCAAACAAAAGCCAATTTACAAATGCTTGTTCTCTCCGAACTTTTTCTCTCTACAACATTTTTTTTTTATATTTCTAGAATTTTCTGATTGTGTCTATTGAGAGGAGCTTGAGCACAAAGAAACAACGTTTCTCTATAAGTAGCTTGAGCACAAAGTTTCTCTTTTGACTTTTAACCAGGGCTATTAATTGTTAGACTTAGGTAACAATTTTGGTGTTTAAAAAAAAAAAAAAAGTGACTTAGGTAATAACATTTTGTTTTTGTCCCATAACAATCTTTGTGAATTTTTGTTATTTTTTCTAATACATATTAACAACTCATTAATAATGCTTCTAGTTCTACTGTATAACTATACCCTTTGACAATTATTTTCTTAACTAACATCCAGTTCCAGCTTATAATAAAATGTGGACGGTCAAAGATTCAAATGCGTAAAAAAAATCAATATACAGTATTATAGAGACTAATCAACCTTTATCTTATTTTAGTTTTGGTCAGATTCAACCAAATGGATAATGTTTTGAATCAAGTAAAACATTAAATAAAATTCGTAAAAAACGCCGATAAAATAACGCCGTTATACGACCGTTTTGGAAAAAACATTAATAAAACTCTAATTAATCACTTTATTAGGTAATAAATAATTACGACGAAACTCGCGGGAACACCACATTATGCGGACAAAAATAAATATCAGACGAGAAAACATAACACTTTGAAAAAATAATTATTCAGCTTTCTCTGCAAAATCGTTACAGAGAGACGACATCGAAAAAAACTTTTGGTCAAAAAATTAGAAGCAACCCAAAGAGAAGAGAGCACAAAGTTCTCATTTTTTTTTTTCCCCTTTCTCTCTCTTTTGAAGCTTCTTCTGATTCATTCCAAGTTTTACAGGTAAAGATCGAGTTTTTTTGTTTGTTTGTTGATTTCTTAATGTTCTCCTGGAATTGAACCCTAATTTTGAGATATGGTGATCAGGGTTGAAGGAGATTGTTGATGTTTTGGTTTGATTCGATTCCTCAACCATATGATTTCATATATTCGAAGACAATTCATCGATCCTTGAACCAAATCCAAAAAAGGATCTTCATTGCAGGTTTTCTCCTCCACATTGGAATCATCGTATCTATACATGATTCAACAGAATTGGGAATTGTAATTGAAATGGTTTTCTCAAAGCTTGATTTTTTAATTTTATTTTCCAGCCTTCATAAGATCAAACTTTGTCGAGGAAATTTGAATATTTGGACAAGCCTGTGATGCGATGGAGCAATTCAGGCAAATCGGAGAGGTTCTTGGAAGCTTAAACGCGCTTATGGTATTACAAGACGATATCTTAATCAACCAGAGACAATGCTGTTTGCTGTTAGATATTTTCAGTTTGGGTTTCAACACCGTTGCCGAAGAGATCAGGCATAACTTGAAGCTTGAAGAGAAGCACTCTAAATGGAGAGCCCTTGAGCAGCCTTTGAGAGAGCTCTATCGAGTCTTTAAAGAAGGCGAAATGTATGTTCGGAATTGTATGTCCAATAAAGATTGGTGGGGCAAAGTTATCAACTTTCATCAGAACAAAGATTGTGTTGAGTTTCACATACACAACTTGCTATCTTACTTTCCGGCTGTGATCGAAGCTATCGAGACGGCTGGAGAGATTTCTGGTCTCGACCCTGCAGAGATGGAGAGGAGGAGAGTTGTGTTTTCAAGAAAGTATGATAAAGAGTGGAATGATCCTAAGCTTTTCCAGTGGAGGTTTGGGAAACAGTATTTGGTTCCAAGGGATCTTTGCAGCCGGTTTGAGCATTCATGGAGAGAAGATAGGTGGAATCTGGTGGAAGCATTGCAAGAGAAGAGAAAGTCCAAGAGCGATGAGATTGGGAAGACTGAGAAGCGTTTAGCTGATTTTCTGTTGAAGAAGCTAACCGGGTTGGAACAGTTTAACGGTAAGCTTTTCCCGAGTTCGATACTCGTTGGTTCTAAGGATTACCAAGTGAGGCGGAGATTAGGTGCTGGTGGTCAGTACAAGGAGATTCAATGGTTAGGGGATAGTTTCGTATTGAGACATTTTTTCGGGGATCTTGAGCCATTAAACACAGAGATTTCTTCTCTGTTATCGCTTTGTCACTCGAATATACTTCAGTACCTTTGTGGATTCTATGATGAAGAAAGGAAAGAATGTTCTCTGGTTATGGAGTTAATGCACAAAGACTTGAAAAGCTACATGAAGGAGAATTGTGGACCTAGAAGAAGATATCTCTTCTCTGTTACTGTTGTGATCGATATAATGCTTCAAATCGCGAGAGGGATGGAGTATCTTCATTCAAATGAGATTTTCCATGGAGATTTGAATCCCATGAACATTCTTTTGAAAGAGAGAAGCCACACCGAAGGCTATTTCCACGCGAAAATTTCAGGATTTGGTTTGACATCAGTCAAAAATCAGTCTTTTTCTCGGGCTTCTTCTAGACCAACCACACCTGATCCTATAATCTGGTATGCACCTGAAGTTCTCGCAGAGATGGAAAAAGATCTCAAAGGTACAGCTCCGAGATCAAAGTTTACACATAAAGCTGATGTCTATAGCTTTGCAATGGTGTGTTTCGAGCTTATAACCGGTAAAGTTCCATTTGAAGATAGCCATCTTCAAGGCGATAACATGGCTAAGAACATTAGAACGGGAGAGAGACCTCTCTTCCCTTTCCCTTCGCCGAAGTACCTAGTCAGTCTAATTAAACGGTGCTGGCATTCAGAACCAAATCAGCGTCCGACTTTCTCTTCCATTTGCCGGATCCTGCGCTACATCAAGAAGTTTCTAGTTGTGAATCCGGATCAAGGTCACCTCCAAATCCAAAATCCACTTATCGATTGCTGCGACTTGGAAGCAAGATTCTTGAAAAAATTCTCTCTGGAGTCAGGTTCTCATGCGGGATCCGTGACACAGATACCGTTCCAGCTATACTCATACAGGATTACAGAGAAAGAGAAGATGAGTCCAAACTTCAACAAAGAAGAGAATTCAGAAACAGGCGAGTCAATTTCCGAAAGTGTTTCAGTGGTTGAAGATCCACCAACAATGCCAACGTATACAAAGTCATTGTGCTTTGATGCAAAATCTGAATACTCAGATACAAGATCAGTTTACTCAGAAGCTCCAATCAAAAAGACCTCAGCTTTAAAGCAAAGCACTGACGCCGTAAAACTCAGAAGAAACTCAATCTCAGGTCAGATAAAAATTTATTCAGCCAAACCACTCAACTCTAATCTCTCTCATGGATCAAACCAAATAGATTAATAATTCTTTTGTCGTAGGTTTACGATCTTCAGGATCGTCGCCTATAAAACCAAGATCAGCAACAAAAGCATCATCACCGCTAAGTCCATTTGGAAGAAGCAGCAGCAAAGCAAGGAAGGATGCTAGATTGCCTTTGAGTCCTATGAGTCCTTTGAGCCATGGGAGACGTAGACAACTCTCTGGTCCTGCTTCTGACTCTGAGCTAACATAGGCAACACACATTCTTGTTTTTGCAAGAATCTTAAACTGAGACAACGTTTCAGTGTTAGTTCCATAACATACCCTTTTTGTGTAACCTCTTAAATACCTTTTTTTTCTTTTCTTCGTATGTGTAAATTTTGCTTTCTTTAGATACTTTTCTCTTTAGCTTATGCAAGTTTACTTTTGAAAAACAAGAGCTTTATTGTACCCTCTTTGCTTAACGTCTTATTCCGATTTTGAGCTCCTGTGTTTGAGGATTTGTTCCATTAAAGATCGGATTTTGCCATTGCACCTGTAATGTCCTCGCAGACGCAATTACGTTTGATTCTCTATGAGTTCTCGAGGAAATTTCAAACGAAATTGAGTACCCAGAAACTGCATAGCTTTGTTACTAAGTCCAGACTCGCTCGTGATCCCTTTTTCGCGACGCAGCTTGTCAGACTCTATGCGCAAAACGATGATCTTGCGTCTGCCCGCAAACTGTTCGACGTATTTCCTGACAGAAGCGTTTTCCTCTGGAACTCTGTTATTCGAGCTTATGCTAAAGCCCATCAATTCAGTACTGCTTTTTCACTTTTCTCTCAGATGCTGAGTTCTGATAGGAGACCAGATAACTTCACCTATGCATGCTTAGCTCGTGGCTTTTCAGAGAGTTTCGATACTGATGGACTGAGGTGTATTCATGGGATTGCAATGGTATCTGGTCATGGATTTGATCAAATTTGTGGCAGTGCAATTGTTAAAGCTTATTCAAAAGCTGGCCATATTTCTGAAGCAAGTAAGTTATTTCTTTCAATTCCAGATCCAGATGTTGCTTTATGGAATGTTATGATTTCTGGATATGAATGCTGTGGGATTTGGGATAAAGGAATCAATATGTTTAACTTAATGCAACATCGAGGAAATCTACCAAATTGTTATACAATGGTAGCCCTAGCAACTTGTTTGATTGATCCTAGTTTGCTACACATTGCTTGGTCTGTTCATGGATTTTGTTTGAAAATCAATCTGGATACTCATTCTTATGTTGGTTGTGCTTTAGTGAACATGTACTCAAGATGCAGGTGCATAGCTTCTGCTCGTAGTGTGTATAATAGCATCTCTGGGCCTGATTTAGTTGCGTGTTCTTCTTTGATAACTGGTTATTCGAGATGTGGGAATCACAAGGAGGCTTTGTATTTGTTTAATGAGCTGAGAGTGAGTGGTAAGAAGCCGGATTGTGTTCTTGTGGCGATTGTATTAGGGTCTTGTGCTGAGTTATCAGATTCAGTCTATGGAAAAGAAGTGCATGGCTATGCTATTAGACTAGGACTAGAGTTTGATATCAAGGTTCACTCAGCTCTTATAGACATGTACTCAAAATGTGGGGTTTTGGATTCTGCGATAAATCTTTTTGAGGGAATTCCAGAGAAAAACATTGTTTCCTTCAATTCCGTTATTTTGGGTCTTGGCTTGAACGGATTTGCTTCCACTGTGTTTGAAAAGTTCACCGAGATGCTTGAGATGGGCTTGAAACCTGATGAGGCCACTTTCGCTGCTCTGCTTTGTACTTGTTGCCATTCGGGACTTTTATATAAGGGTCAAGAAATCTTCGAGAGAATGAAGTTTGAGTTTGGTATTGAACCAAAAACAGAGCATTATGTTTACTTAGTAAAGTTGATGGGAATGGCTGGAAAGCTAGAAGAAGCATTTGAGTTTGTAATGTCACTACGAAAACCAATTGATTCAGGAATTTTGGGAGCACTATTGTCATGTTGCGAAGTTCATGAGAACACGCAGTTGGCTGAAGTTGTAGCAGAGAAGATATTGGAGAATGGGGAAGAGAGAGGAAGAAGTGTATACAAAGTGATGCTCTCTAATGTGTATGCAAGATATGGGAGATGGGATGAAGTAGAAAGGCTTAGAGATGGAATTTCAGAAAGCTTTGGAGGGAAATTGCCAGGGATTAGTTGGTTTTAACCGCGAAAAACAACCGAGCTTCTTGCTGATGATGAAGATGAAGCAGAGAAGCTCTTTCTGGTGTTTGAGGAACGTTACAGACATAAAGAAGGAATGAGGCATGCCATTGCTGGGAAGAGGATGTTTCAGTACGTAGATAAGGTTAGAAGAAAACCCTTGAATTATCGTTGTTGGTTTTGTTTGGAGTCTAAAAGTCACAAAGATCAGATCAGAGAAGTTTTATGGGATAATTTTGAAGATATTCCGGTCTGATCGGATCTATCTTAGGTTAGGGAGACAAACCATTGAATTTATTTATTTATCCTTTTTTTCTTCTCATCACAACTTCCAATATTGCTCTGTTTTCTAACATATCTATCTTTCTGCTAAAAAACCTCTCTTTCTAATTTAAAAATCATAATAATTAGATTTAAATCATTGTTTGGTTTCATCTTTCCCAGAAGACAAAGAAACGACTATTTTCATTCGATCTCACATTTCACCTGGTAATATTTTCAATCCTACTCTTCCCTGTCAACAATGTAAATTGTAGAATACAGTTTATTCTGTTTTGATGTCTTGAGAAAATTACTTCTGCAGAAAAATCTGGTCTCTTTATTTTGATTTGATCCCCATATCGTTGCGTGAGATCATTCTCTCATTCCTGTTTTCACTAGACAAAACTTGATACATACGTTATTTCTTTTATCAATGTTATCAAACGATTATAGACATGTGTAAGAATGGTAGAGATTTGCTTTTGAATATATGATACTAAACATTTGTGATGTTTGCTGTTTTGTGTGTTTGCAGGACGTTTTATTGATCTTTTTGTTTGGTAAAGGTTCAAATGCAGAGACGAGAACGAGGGTCGTAAGAATGGAGCGAGCAAAAACAGGTAAGATTTGTTTGAATTGATGCTCAACGAAAATTAAATTACGTAAATACTATTTTCCTCTTTGAAAATTGTTTATGTAAGGTTTTGTTAGTTCTCTTGTCATCTCTGCAGAAGTGGAGAAGAAAGTTTCAAAACTTGTGAAGTTCATCCAAAACAAAAACAAGATTCCAAAGGATTCAAAGAGAGAACTTCTAGGGATTGTTAACGATCTTCAAGAGCAGTGTCAGTCTCTCTTTTCTATTTTTGATGATTTTCAACAAGATTTAGACCCGAAAAGCGGTGGCAGAATAAAAGGGAAATCGCGTATTGCTTCATCGAGTTCAGATTTAGAATATTACTCTTCAGAGGAAATAGAGAATGTTATTGAGGAAGGAATTGAAATTTCTGAGCTACAAAGCAAGCTTGAAGCATTGAGGAATGAGGCTGAAGAGAAAGAACGAGAATTGACTTCACGTGTGAAGGAGCTAGTACGAGAGCTAGGTAATGCTAAAGCTGAGTGTGATAAGAAAAGAGGTTTAGAAAAAGAGATTGCGATGAAAGCTAGTGAAAGTAAACAGTTAGGAGAGAAGAACAAAGGGCTTAGATCTCAAATCTCCGGTTTGGAATCGGTTTTGAGAGAGAAAGGAGATGAGATATCAACACTTGTGAACAAGTTTGGCAACAGCGAGTTAGGTTTAACATCAAGGATCGAAGAATTGAAATGCCAATTGAGAAATTTGGAAGAAGAAATTGGTTTCCTTCGCGCACGAAACGCGGAATTGGCTAAAAAGTATGAAGTTAAGAGGGTAGAGGATGAAGAGCACGTTAAGGGACTGATGGATCAGGTAAATGGTATGAAACATGAGCTTGAATCATTGCAGAGGCAGAAAGATGAATCTGAAGCAAAGTTGGAGAAGAAAGTCGCACAAGTTACAAAGACGGAGATGCAACTGAAGAGTTTGAAAGAAAAAACAGAGGAGGAGAGGAACAGACTGAATAAAGAGATTGTCCATCTTAAAGGAGAAAATCAGAAGCTGCATACAAGAATCGAAGAGCTCGATTCATTGAATATGGAGATAAAGACGAAAAATGCTGATAAAGTTAGAAATGAGAGCAAGATATTGGACATTCAAAATTCTGATCAGAAGAAATTGGTCAAGGAACAAGATGATATTATTCACAGGTAAACAACAGAAACTTTTTTGGTTTTCAAATTGTCAGAGTATTCATTCAGGCTTTAAGTCTTTATGTTTCTATCGCAGGCTATCGGTGAAAGTCAAGGATCAAGAGAGACTTCTCAAAGAACAAAAGGACACTATTGACAAGTTATCTGATGATCAGAAGCTATCGAAACGTTGGTCATTTGGTTCGAGCCGGGATTGGAAACTGAATCCAAATACCTTGGAGAAGAAAATGGAAGAATTAGCTGAAGATTTCCGGATGAAGATAGAAGATCATATTAGGATACTATACAGGAGGATCCATGTGGCCGAACAAATACACTTAGAGAGCAAGAACGACTATATAAAAACACGAGAGATGGCTCAAGAAAATAGAGAAAATAGAGAAAGTCTGACGTTTTTCGAAACCCATTTCTACAATATGAAAGATGCTTTGGAAAAAGGGTACACGAGATCGGAAACGGCTATGAAGAAGCTAGAAGAAGCAGAGGAGCAAACGAAGAGAGTTGCCAGACTAGGTGAAGAGATCGACTCGGCGAAGCTATGGGTGAGTGGGAAGAAGAGCGAGCTAGAGAGTCTAAAGGCAAAGCTAGAATGCAGAGAAGCTCAAGAATATCTGTTGAAGGAGAAGCTGTCGAAGCTAGAGAAGAAGCTTGCGGAAGAAGGAACAGAGAAACTGAAACTAACGAAGGTGTTGAGCAAATATGAATCGAAAACGAAAGAGCTTGAGATGAAGGTGAAGGGAAGAGAAGTAGAAGTGTTGAGTTTAGGGGAAGAGAAGAGAGAAGCCATAAGACAACTGTGCATTGTTGTGGATTATCAAAGAGAACGATACGATCAACTCAAGAGAAATCAAAAATCTTAAAAGATTGATGATCTTTAACACCTTAATTCTCTTTTTTTATTCATTTTCATTTACCAATGTTTCTTATATATATACAAATTCATTAACCCATCTTGCAAAACAAAACATAAAAGATTTGTAATTGTAAGATAGTGGATTCATGGTTGTTGTAAAATACAAGTAAGTAATGTTGGGAATCTAAACCAAGCCAACTTTCCATTAGTATGATATTGTCCGCTTTGGGCTTATCACTCAAGCCCGCACGGATTTATTGGGCTCCTTCCCAAAAGGCCTCATACTAATTAGAGTTGGACTTAACTTATATATTAGAAACTTCTCTTTCTAATCTTCCGATGTGGGATATTGGTTTGTATTCCAATACTCCCCCTCAAACCAATATCCATTCCTCTAGGTCCACAATCTTGACCTAGGCTCTGATACCAATTGTTGGATATCAAAGTGAAGACCAAGGAAAACTCATGTTTTCTAATTCAAGTAACCGTGGAGGACATGGTAGTAATCAAGGAGGAAACAGAGGAGGTTATGGCCGTGGAGGGTCTAACCGAGGTGGCTCTGGTCGTGGTGGTAGAGGTCGAGGCCGAGGACGGTCTAATGGACAGAAACGTGGAGAAGAAGCCACAGATCAAAACCATTATCTCGAGGGGGCGTGTGGAGAAAAGATCCCACATCGGAAGATGTGAGGGGACTTAAGTAATATATAAAGGGTTAGGGCCAATCCACTCATTGCCAATTGGTTTTGATCTGTGGCTTCTTCTCCACGTTTCTGTCCATTAGACCGTCCTCGGCCTCGACCTCTACCACCACGACCAGAGCCACCTCGGTTAGACCCTCCACGGCCATAACCTCCTCTGTTTCCTCCTTGATTACTACCATGTCCTCCACGGTTACTTGAATTAGAAAACATGAGTTTTCCTTGGTCTTCACTTTGGGTCTCTTCC